AATTTAAATTTTTGGATTATGTCTAAACCTAGTAATAAATCTTCTTTAAAGTACTTGTTTTTGACTATAAAGAATGATACATTTTCTTCAATATTGCATATTTTTACTTTTAAGGTTGCCGAACCCTCTGATTTTGTTACACCAGCTACTCCTTTTAAGTTTTCCCCCCCACTTGTAATTTTGTTTACCTTTTTTATTTTGTTTAAGAATTCATGGTTTATCAGTGATACATTTGCTCCTGAATCATAGAGACCAACTGCTGGCCAGTTGTTCACATGAACTCTTAGTCTTATAAGTGGGGTGACTACTCGTTTTTTGCTTCTTCGGTGTTCGCTACTATCTTTTCACTATCTACATTGTTTACAATTTTGATTTTATCGTTATTTGATCTTAAAATTTTTTTATCTCTTAGCCTACACCTGTGCTCTGGGTGGTATCTATCTTTATAACCTAGCTTTTCGCATATGGAGCACGGGTTGTCTTGTTTAGGTTTTGTATCTTTATCTTTTTTTTTACTACTCAAATTTCCAAAATGTTTTAATTTCGACATTAAATCTTCCATAGTACTAATGGATTTTCTTTCTAGCTTATCTTGCAAAAATTTGGGTAATTTGATTACTATTAAATCAATTTGAGTATTTAAAGTCATATTTTCGTTAACTTCTAGTAACAAATTTCTCTTTTTCAGTGCGTATTCTAATAACGAGCCGCTTAAATATTGATAATCATACGCATAAGCAATATCAGTCCAAGATTGTACTGAGAAGGTTTCTATGAAAGCATTATTCCATATTTCCCAATTATTTAGCGTATTTGCATTTTGTTTTAAAAACACGTTAAACCAATCTAAAGCAGCTTTTTCTAAGAATACCCGTAATGTTTCAGCATATTTATTTTGACTAATCCCTACTCGAGCACATTCTTGGGCGAACATCGATATCCATGTTGTCGCTTTAAAGTTTTCGCCGTTAAATTTTTCCATAACCATGTCCTTAGCTAAACTACGAGTACTTCTTTCGGTAGTACCAGTATTGGTGACGTTTACTTGTGTCGGTGTAACCTCTTCTAAGTATTCGTCGTAGAACACGACATTGCCTTCTTCATCTAAGTAAATCTCTTGAAGATCTGGCGTTAAGGTCACCACAACATTTCTAAATTTGTTACGAGCTTTTAAACTCTTGACGACATTTTTCACCACCGTGGTGTTGAAGAGTTGCCTATGTTGATCACTGGTTCTTCTGTCCTTTGGAAATAAAAAACACTCCTCTTGGTTCACCAGCTGAATAGTGTTCACCTTCACGACTGTGCTTTTCGAGTCGGCTCCTGCTTCGGAAATGAATTGAAACTTCGCCTTTCTCTCCATTGTATTGATTT